TGTAATCAGAAAGAGCAGAGGTTGTGGCTGTGTAAACTAAACAACCATTTTTCACATTTTTTTCATGTTTAGTATTAGGTGTGTAACTGTATACAAAATTCATTGAACAAACCTCAGTTTCTGGTTGTGGTTCAGTGCAATTTTTTTGGTAGAGCAGGGAAACAGAATTTGATCTGATATTATTTATTATTAAAACTGCAAACACAATGTGTCTCTTGACATGTCTACATACGAAGAGATGCTTATTTTCACATAATGAAAAATATATAAAATTTAAAAATCAAGAATATAACATCATAACAATCATGATTAACTAAATCCCATGTTCTCTACTTCCAAGAATGGTCACCTATCTGTAGCCGAATTTACTTACATGCCACAAATCACTGTTTCTGCATTGCTCCAATTCTCAAATTTGGATGATGTCATCTCAAACAAGTTAGCAAGTTGGATATGATTTCAGCAACTGATTCGGGATCAGTGTAACAGAGCCAACAGTCTTGGTTATATAAGCTACTCTCTCTCCAGTGTGTGTAATTTACTGGGAAACTAAAATGTTCCCAAACTGCCGATTATGATTGACTGTAACTAGGATCACCCATAACAAACTCACAGACACAATTAGCATGTTTTCTATGTTAAATTCCCCCCATGTCAAGAAATGTGTTCATTCATTTCATTGTGCATACTGCATAGAGGATCACTGGTAGTGTAGTGTAGCATACAGTCTTGTTACATACCAGTTCATGTTATATATTCTCTATGGCTTTAATTAACAGACACCCCCCCTTTATCATTTTATTTTATATTGTTGTGCTAGTCTGGAAAATGTCTGTATATGTGTTGTATAAGAGGAGGGAGAGTATTGTCAATGAGGGCACTACCTTGCAAGGCGGAGAGCTATTTGTGGGGGGAGAACTGCGGTGCGCGCAATACTCCAGGGACGCTCAATAGAGAGTAAGCTAAGGGAGTGAGCGTGCAGCAGCCAGTTCGGTCTCCTTGTGAAACTTTATTAAACCCCCTTTTCCATCTCTCTACTTACAGACCCCTGCATCTTTATTCAAATGTGTTGCACCGGGGTGGGCGGCCGTGTCACACCCTGTGTCCGTAACAGTGGCAGCCTACCCACCTTCAGTGACATATACTGTACAAGAGCAGGAGCATGAGCTTCCTGTATCATGAGGGATGCTACACACCCTGCTCATGGACTGTTTACCCTCCTTCCATCGGGCAGGAGGCTTTGCAGCATCGGGACCAGAACCTCCAGACTAAGGAACAGCTTTTTCCCAGAGGCCATGAGACTGATAAACTCTAATGCAATTTGTTAACTTCCGCACTTTGAATTCTGCGAACTCGCACCCATGATACAACTCTGCTATAAATAATCAGTATTACATATCAGGGCATTGCTGCAATAGTTACCCTCAACGCTGCACTTCATTACTCTAATTTTGCATCTACACATTACTACATTTTTCCTACAGTCATGCTCACTTTCCATTCATAGTTATATTTTCCTCATGTTATATTTATCCCAGTGTTACTATTTTATTTTTACTCTTTATTTTTACTTTAATTCATTGAGTTATTATTTTGGATTTGATTTCTATTTTATCATTGTGACCTATACTAGACCAGAGTAACTCATATTCTTCCCTTCATATACAACATGTTATGAAATTACAATAGACATCCATTATCCTTTGAATTCCCCCTCTCACACACCCACACATGGGGGCAGTCTCATTGAAACTGTTTATGGAATGTGACAGGCTGTATATTTCACTTATTTTGGATATCTTCGAAACGATGATTTTTTTTCTTTCATTATAGTTATGTAAAAGAAAACACTTTGAGGTTTATGCTAACATTAATATGATGTCCAACACAGTAAGAAGCATTTAATCAGTGTTCAAGATGCAACAGGAATGAGGGTTAATAATTATGATTTTGGTCACACTTTACTTAAGGGAACATGAATAATGTAGTAGTACATGACAGTTCATGGATTCCATTCAGGCACTATATTAGTTAACAGTTAATTAGTTAATAATGGTAAGACTTCACTTGAGGGGGCAGAAATTACTTATTAATTTACTACTCAAGAACAAATCATGAACTAATATATCCCCATGAACTGGCATGATCAATTAATGGTGGGATTAATACTTAACAAACACTTCATTACTGCATTAAGCATGTACTGCTACATTATTCATGTCCCCTAGAGTAAAGGCCAATTTTTTATTATGATTTTTTAAAATTATCTTAAGATCGTATTTTATTAATAGTTATATGTGTAGTTAAGTAGATGTTAGGTAGCTCCTGCTCTAATACTGCTTATACTTGTGCCGGGGCATTCATTGCAAGCTCAGCCAAGATGCACTTATGTCTAGTTGACTCCTTGACAGCAGGAATGCTTGCAATGTGCTATTTGTCTCACTTGTACACTGCTTTGGACAAAAAACATCTGCTAAATATGTAAATGTCTGTGTGTATAGAGCAGGGGTGGGGAACCTGTTCCATGGAGGGCCGGTGTGGGTTCGGGTTTTTGGGATAGCCTCTCCCTCAGCCAATAATAAAACAGTGGTTCTGAACTCCAATCCTAGAGACCCACTGTTATTGGCTGATTGAGAGGTCATCCCAAAAACCTGCACTGGCCCTCCATGGAACAGGCTCCCCACCCCTGGTATAGAGCATACATAGCTCATTGTACATTGTACTTTTCTGACGTTCTTTGCACTGTGACTGTTTAATGTCATTTATCATTCATGGTTAAGGGGATTAATAAAATATCTATCTTTCTATCTGTCTGTTTCCTTCAGTACCAAGCATTAAGCACTATTTTGTTTCTGTTGTCCCTCAACTGAGCCTATATAAAACATATTGTATCCATTTAAATATTTGTGCTGTAAGTCAGACTAGACACATACCACTTACAAATCCCCTATATATTTAAACCCTAATTGATTGGTTTTTAATTATATATGCTTTCGTTTTATAATTATAGATGGTATCATAAATATTATCACTGAATCAAAATTACTTACAGAACTGTCCTAGATTTCTTGACCACAGGCAGCAGCCTCTGAAGTCCTTCATCTGATCTGATGTATTTCTTCAGATCAAACACATCCTGCTCTTTATCTGACATCAGTAACACAAAGGCCAGAGCTGACCACTGGGCAGGTGAGAGGTCTTCAGCTGTAAGACTTCCTGAATTCAGGTAACTTTGTACCTCCTCTACCAGAGATTTGTCATTTAGTTCATTCAGACAGTGGAACAGGTTGATGGTTCTTTCTGGAGATAAATTCTGCTGTATTTTCTCCTTGATGTATTGGGCTGTTTCCTTAATGTTATGTGATTTGGTTCTTTTCTGTGGCAGTAGCCTTTTTAACAAAGTCTTATTGGAATCTATTGAAAGGCCGAGGAGGAAACAGAGGTAGAGGTCTAAGTGTCCATTCTTGCTCTTTAATGCTTGATCCACTGCAGTCTTCAACAAACCAGCTGATGTGTTTGATAGAAACATGTATAAAGCAGCAAGATACTCCTGAATGCTGAGATGTACAAAGCTGTACATCTTCTCATGATACAACCCAGACTCTTCTTTATAGACTTCTGTGCACACTCCTGAGTAAACTAAAGCTTCATTGACATCAATGCTGCACTTTTCAAAATCCTCCTCATAAAATATGAGATTGCATTTTTCAAGATTCTGAAAAGCTAGCTTACCAAGTTTAAGAAGGAATTTTTCATTATGTTTTAAGCATACACTTTGTTCCATTTCTTGATTTTTCACATACTTATCTTTTAAACTTGTCTGAAATATCAGGAAGTGTGTGTACATTTCAGTCAGAGTCCTTGGAATTTCTCCACTGTCAGTTTCACTAAAAAGTCTCTCAAGAACAGTGGCAGAAATCCAGCAGAACACAGGTATGTGACACATGATGAAGAGGCTCCTTGATGATTTCACATGTGTGATAATCCTGCTAGCCAGGCTCTGATCATTAAATCTCTTCCTGAAATACTCCTCCTTCTGGGCATCATCGAATCCTCGTATCTCTGTCACCTTGTGGACACACTCAGGAGGTATCTGATTGGCTGCTGCTGGCCGGGAGGTGATCCAGAGTAGAGCAGATGGAAGCAGATTCCCCTTAATGAGATTAGTCAGCAACACATCCAGTGATGTTTTCTTTGTTACATCACACCAGCTCTCATTGTTACGAAAATCTAGAAGAAGGCGACACTCATCCAGGCCATCAAAGACAAACAAGACTTTGTAGTTACACAGCTCAGTCAAATTGAATGATTTCATCTCTGGTACAAAGTGATGAAGCAGTTCAATCAGACTGTATTCATCCTTAATTAAATTCAGGTCCCGGAACGGAAGAGCAAATATGAAGTGTATATCCTGGTTTGCTTTTCCATCCGCCCAGTCAAGAATAAATTTCTTCATGGAAACTGTTTTCCCAATACCTGCAACACCTTTTGTAAGGACAGTTCTAATAGGTGTTCCATGGCCACTTAATGGTTTGAAAATGTCATTGCACTTGATTGTAGTATCACCTGTCACCCTTTTCTTGGATGCTGTTTCAATCTGTCTCACTTCATGTTCATCTCTGTCTCCTCGAGTTCCACCTTCAGTTAAATAGAGTTCTGTATAAATCTCATTAAGTAGTGCTGGGTGTCCTTCCTTAGCTTTCCCTTCAAATACACACTCAAATTTCTTCTTCAGGTTACATTTTATTCTCTGCTGGCATTGTAACAGGAGTTCCCCTGAAATTCAATTAGAAAACACAAAGTCTCTGTTTATTATATGTTTACATATTTTATTATCTTTACCTTAAGGACCTAAATTTTCTTCTGTACAGTAGCTGCAATATATGTTACATTCATGAAATCATGAATAACTTTTCAAAACACTGTAACACATAAGTGAAAATATATTAAAATGAAAAACAGTTAAATTTCTTTTCATCATACCTACACTATATGGACAAAAGTATTGGGATACCTGGCCAAAACACCTACAGAAACTTTTATGACATACCATTCTAAATTCATAGGCATCAATATGGAATTGGTCCCATCTGCAGCTATAACAGCTCTAAGCACTCTTCTGGGAAGGCTGTCCATGAGATTCTGGAGTGTCTGAGTATCCAGAAGAGCATTTGTGAGATCAGGCACTGATGTTGGATGTGAAGGCTCGCAATCACCATTCAAGTTAATCTCAAAAGTGATGGGGTTCAGGTCAGAGCTCTGTGTGGATCAGTCAAATTCCTCCACACTAAACTCACCCTACCCTGTCTTTATGGATCTTGCTTTGGGCACTTGGGCACAGTCATAGTGAAGCAGAAAATGGCCTTCCCCAAACTGTTCCCATAAAATTAGAAGCATAGAATTTTCCAAAACGACTTGGTTTGCTGAAGCATTAAAAGTTTCTTTCACTAGAACTTAGGGGTCTAGCCCAACGCCAGAAAAACAACCCCATACCATTTCCCCCCCTCCACCATATTTTACAGTTGGCACAATGCAGTCAGGCAGGTAATGATCTCCTGGCATCCACCAAACCCAGACTCATCCATCAGACTGCTAGACAGAGAAGCACGATTCGCCACTTCAAATAACATTTCCACTACTCCAGAGTCCAGTGGTAACATGCGTTACACCACGTCATCTGACACTTGGCATTGTGCTTGGTGATGTGAGGCTTGCATGCAGCTGTTCAGCCATGGAAGCTCATTCGTTGAAGCTCCTGACACACAGTTTTGTTTTGGGGTTAATTCCAGAGGAAGTTTGGAACTCTGCAGTTATTGAGTCAGAGTGTTGGCAACTTTTACGCACTATGAGCCTCCACAGTCGGCAACCCCACTTTGTTACTGACTTATTGCAAAGGTGGCATCCTATGAGAGTACCATGCATGACATCTCCGAGCTCTTCAGAATGATCCATTCTTTCACAAATGTTTGTAAACCTGACTGCATGGCTAGGTGCTTGATTTTATACAGTATAGCTGTGGCAATGGGTCTGAATGAAACATCTAAATTCAGTGATTAAGAGGTGTGTCTCAATACTTTTTGTCCATAGAGTACACTTTTTTTCTAAAGTACTAACATACACAGAATGGTATAAAACTTACTCTTCTCCAATCTTTCAGCAAGATCATTTTGATTCATGGTCCTCAGGATGTACAGTGTGATCTTCAAAGCTCCCTCTCTACCACAGATCTTCTGCATCTGATCATCACTGTCCAGGTCATTGTCCTCATCCAGCAGAGACTCGGAGCATTCTGGGCAATTCTGGCCTAGATACTGTGTGAACTTCTTCAGCTCATCCTTCAGGAACTTTACAGTATTTTCCTCTAGTGACTAAAATAAACAGTTATAGTTAAACGATCATGTTTGCTACTGATGCCATAACTTTTCACAGTTTCATTTGTGAATTGCAGTTGCAAAAATATTGCTTTTACCAGCATTAACTGCATACTGCATAGGAGTGTAACGGTACACATATTCGTACCAAAAATTCTTGGTACGGGTCTTTTGGTTCAGAATGAATATGTACCGAACAAATGCAACAAATGCAGAACCTTTGTGTGTTTCCCCTGAGCAAAATTCAGAAAGGGGTAGATGAATCTCTGCCACTACGCATGCGTGCATACTTCCTAATGTGAAACTGGAAGTTGTTAATGTGAAATTGAGTACAGTACAGGTATTTTTTTAAATGCACCATAATGGATATTTATTTTGTTATGCTTTGTAATTTTTGAGACAATATTTGTGTTATGTTGCACAGTTCAAATATAAAACTCTAAGCTGTTAATGTGAATACAGTACAGATTAGGTACAGTTAATTTTCTAAATATGCACCTTAATGGATATTTATTTTATTTTTATTTACTCGAGAGAATATTTATTTTGATTTACTTTTAAGTAAATTTTATTTTTATTAGTAGGTTGCAGTAGTATTGACAGGGACAGTCATACTTTGTTCAGTAAAACACTGTTTAATAAAGGAAAAAAAGAAGCAATTTGTTTATTTTACCCCCACTGTACCAAATATGTACCGAACTGTGACTTCAAAACCATGATTTCTGTGTACCTTTACACCCCTAATGTATTTTACTATGCAAAAAGTCAGATAATCAAAGGAAATTTTAATGTTGGAATACAACTATGATGTCTGTCAAAGTTCATTGACTTAGCCATTTAAAAACTTCTCCTTACCCCAGTATTTTGTTACTATGGGATGGAGGAGGAACAACCCAGGTTCAGTCTTCACATTCCCAGATGGGGTTTTAATCAAAGGTAATGGTGAATGAGGCAAAAAAGGACCATGAAGGATCAAATCAGGATGTTAGGAAGAATGAGAGGCTAATAGGATGAAAGAGTAGTATACAGGACAAAATGCGTAAGAAACACTGACGAGCTACACAGGGGAACAGAGCAAAACCAACCACCACTGAGAGACACACTAACATTAGTAATGCCTGAGCTGAGTGAGTGGGTAAGGAGGGCTAAGGGGAGACAGGTGTAAGTCATTATGAGATTAAGGGAAGGAATTGGGATGGCCAGCAGAGACCAAATACATTATCCATGTACAGTATTTATTGTCTGGATCATTGGCATATCATGTTTGACTAATCAATAACACCAAATTATTCAGCTGATTAATTAATTAAATGAGGTGCCCCAGAGGAGACGATTGGCGACTGAAGCTGTTAGTTAGTCATATATATATATATATATGGACACTTCATACATACTGCAAATATGGATGATAAATCTCTTTCATGACACACATCTGATTTTTCCATTTTGTTTCTGTGAATAAAACACATTAAATCAGCAAAAATGTAACAGAATGGCAAAAGCTGCTTATACTGCAGAGAAAGTGTAATCTAGTGCTATAGCATATATTTGAAAATATGTAACTGGCATAATTTTTTTTTAGCTTTCTTCATAATTAAATTCTTATAAAAGTAGAACAAAGCAAGTGATATGAACCACCACATTGTACCCAAAAATTCAGTAACATGTCTTTCTTTTAGTCTTAGTTCAATCATTCATAATTTTCTTTTAATGGAATCCGAATAATTTTATTGGTCTGATTTTTAAGCATATTTCGACAAAGAGGTATACACTAGCCTTTAATATAGCAGCCATGGCTGATATAAAATATGTTAAATTTTTTTTATACAGAATATCCAAATTCCAACATGTAGCTTGTAAATAATTACTTATGTGATACATTTTTTTAAAAAATTGCAAATATTTCAGTGGAACATTAAATGTTAAATATCGTATCTGGGCAGACATGATCAAGTGAAATTAAACTCTTAAATGACTGAAAGTTAGTTACAGACATGCCAAACTTAAAGAATATCACCTTAATCTGGAAAAGTTTCAGCTCATGTACATGCGTACACATAGTATATATTTTGGACAGCCAACTTATTTGTTAATGTCAGAAATCTACATTCAAACTGAGTGTATTACTGAAAATCAAAACTGAATCATTTACTAATAGCTCACTATAAATTCTGGCAAGGAAAAGTTTAATAACATGCTACTCCAGCAAGCATCTTAAATCAAGCTTGTAGATGATATAAGCAGGGGCCGTGGGGTCACCTTGTAGGATGTCTGACATTTACTGAAGAATGTCTTTACTAAAATAACTAAGGCATTATTCTTTAAAGTTTTTAATGTGTATTATTTACTTATTTTATACACACTTTAAAATTCAGAAAACTAGTTGCCTCAGCTGTTTTCAATAAATAATAGTGGTGTGTGGGGATCATGGCTCTACGCACAAGCATGACATGGGGAGAGAGAGAGACTTTTTTTTTTTTACTTTTAAAAATTTCTTTATTAACACAAATGCACAATTAATCCTTACTCAAAAAAATAGATGAAAAAATATGAGGACAAACAAAAAAATAACAAAAATAAAAGGATAAAACATAAGATATCAGTCCACAAATTCACCATGCACATCATACTTTCAACACTAGACTTTGATCATCGCCAAGTTCACACAACACTCTGCATTGCCCCCACACCATGGAGAACTCCTGCAGGGTATGGGTCAGCACAGAGTACGCATTTAAAAAAAAAATCTTTCTCGAACTCACCAAACCATGCCTCAAGCTTTGAGAACATGGTCTCAAGCCTTTCGAACCTCAAAAAAAGATGCGCCACAGTTTCATCTTGCCCACAAAATGGGCAGTCCACTACCAGCGATGGGTCGATGTGCGCCACATGTAGATTCGTGGCCACAGCCCCATGCACCAACCTCCAGTGCAGGTCAGCAGTGTGCTTCTCTATAGGGGGTTTGTACAGGGTCTTCCAGCAACCCATGGGGGAAGCATCAGGTGCCAAAGTGCCCAACCACCTAGAAGCTGCCACCCCTTTCAGAGAACGGTTATTAAGAACTTTCACACTCACTTCATAAAGCTCCTTCTTAGAGGCCCCCGCAAAGTCACGTAGCTGCAGCACTTTGAAAGAGAGTAACAAACCAACATCCTTCCGATGCCCTTCCACTGCCGCGGAAACATGCAAGGTCGGGAAAAGCCGTCTCGGATCCCCTACCCCGTCCTCCACAGTCCTCCAAAACCCTTTAGGCATTTTTGACATGATTTATGTCAGATTGAAAGTCAGGGCAGAGCGGGCCACTTTGTACTAAACTGCATTATGAATAACAACATATCTTTTTCCATACAACACCAAAAAATAAGTTTGAATCTATTGGGAAGTTAGTTTAATATCGGACTGTTCTGATCCATTCGTATGGAGACGTTGTCAAAGTGCACATCACTAATGTTCTGCACAAATTTATTTATGTCAAAGCCGCTCCATGCTTTCTTAATATTGGTGAAACGTGCCGGTAAAAATTACACGAATGCAAAACTAAAGATAATAGTTAAGAATGTGTGTTCACGGCCTAGATTCTGGATATGCGTGACGCCCGGCTCGTCCGATCCTCGTGTGTGCCACGTTACCTCGTGTTAATTCCTGATTGTACTCACCTGTTGCTTGTTTAAGTCAGCCTGTCTTGTGTATATTAGTCCACGTCTGCCTTTGTTTCCCAGATCCGTCATTGTTGTTGTGTTGTGTCGTGGATGTCTGCCCCGAATAAACTCTGTTTATTCCTATTCACGGCTTCGCTCGCCTGTTTCCCCGCTCGCCTTGCACGCCCGGCGTCACAATATGTTAATAGAAACATATGATAATAGCGTGATTGTTTATATAGTTTAATATTGGGCTGTCCAGGAGCTTGAATTCCCGGTCAGAAATTAAGTCCCTTCACTTGCTCCAAGTCAGACATATAATTCAGGATATCAGACAAAATTATTAACCTCTTCATTGAAATTTTCAATGGTTATGATTAAAAGCTGAAATATTATCATATGGCAACCAACGTAATGCATTGCAGACTGACCCCTTTGCTCTTGAATAGAAAAGTATTAACCCAAGAACTTAACATTTACATTTGTATCATGTTGATGAGGTATAAAAATGCATGCCTATACTGTGAAAAGTTTAACTTTATCCTGAAATATAGTTTGAATTAAGAAATCATTTGCATTATGTGAAATTTTATTTTATAACAACTGTCGAATGAAAGTGTTATTACAAAATACAATTTAGAGGTTATACATAGAAAATAAAATAGAAAATAAATTAAAATATAATACCTTTTATGAAATGATTTACAATTAAAAGGACAAATTATTGAAATATTTATTATTCATGTATTTATTTATAGATATATTTATTCGAGTATTTTGGTGTTCATTACAAACATCTTTGGCAATATGTTTATCCTAGAATGCGGCAGTAAGTTTTAATTTCTTCTTCTCCTTCTAACAAAATCCTCAAACCTCTAATATAAGCTTGCCCCAATACAGCTGAGTAGTGTCAGGTATTTTTACATTGTCTTGATGCCAAAATAAAACAGATCTATCGCAATTTTCCTCCTACCTCTCAGTTAGTCTCCCCCTCTAACTTTTCTACTCCAACTGCAAAACTCTCCTGATTTGCACCAGTTGACTCTCTCTCTGTCTCTGAATTCATCTTCTAATCCTTCCTCCTGTCAGCTTGATCCGGCCCCTATACCTCTACTAAAAACATATTCTTGTATAATAAGTTCTCCAATCGCATCTCTGATAAATAGATGTCTCTTCCAACTCTGTCCCTTCTGCCCTCAAAACTGCTGTAGTTACTCCTATCCTCAAGAAACCAGAGCTGGATCTGTCATCTCTCTCAAACTACAGACCTATCTCAAATCTTCATTTTCTGGCTAAAGTGATGGAAACAGTTGTAGCTACAGTCGTGCCCAAAAGTTCCGAGAATGACAAATACTGTTCTTACTCAATCAGCATGAGAGTGATCTCCCACCTTGTCCTCATCAACACTCTCACCTGTGTCAATGAGAAAATCATTGTAATTATGTCAGCAGGTCCTTTTGTGACAGGGCTGAAATGCAGTGGAAATGTTTTTTTTTTTGGGAGATTTAGTTCATTTCCATGGCAAAACGGGACTTTGCAATTAATTACAACTCATCTGATCACTCTTCATAACGTTCTGGAGTACATGCAAAATTGCCATCATAAAAACAGGCAGCAGACTTTGTGAAAATTAATATTTGTGTCATTCTCAAAACTTTTGGTCATGGCTGTATGCGACTACATGCCTTTCCTAATGATAAAACACTATACTGGCCATTCCAGTCTCAGTTCTCCTCCGATCTCCCGATAGTGGTTCCCTTAGTAGTCTAATCCTCCCTGATTTAAGTTCAGCATTTGACACGCTTATCCATGATATACTCATTTTGTGCCCATCCTGCATTGGTACCATGGACATAGCTCTTTAGCGGTTCACGTCATATGTTACTAACAAACAACAGTTCGTCACAATGGGTCCACACAAGTCCTCCACCTTCCCTGCTGTGAGTGGTGTCCATCAGGGATCAGTTCTCAGGTCCCTCCTCTTCCTACTCTACATCCTCTCTATTGGTCAGATCATTCACATATATGGCCTTAATTTTCACTGCTATGCTGATGATATTCAGTTGTGTCTTAGTTCACGCTCCTCTATTGCCTCCCCTCCTAATACACTGACTGATTGCATCTCAAATTTAAAGCTTTAGATGCAGGATATGTTTCTCAAACTTAACACAGACAAAACTGAAGTCTTACTGGTCGGCCCTAAATCATTGTCTAAATCCTCCAGATTTTCTGTTAGTATTGATGGTGTCCCTGTAAAAACAGCTATCAGAACTCTTGAAGTATTATTTGACTATTCACTTAACTTATCTTCACATAAAATCCCTCTCCAAAATCTCATTCTTTCACCTCCATAACATCACTTATCTATGCCAATTTCTATCCAGTACTCTTGCCCTAACTCTGGTATATGCATTCATTACATCCCATATTAACTATTTCAGCTCCCTTTTCGCTGGCCTCCCAATATCTATACAAAAGCTTCAGTATATTCAGAACTCAGCAGCTTGAGTTCTCACTCACACTAAACTCCGCTCACATCACACCCATCCTCTGTCAGCTATATTAGCCTCCAGTTCAGTCTCAGATCAAAAATTCTAAATATTGCTTCTCACATTTAAAGCTCTGCATAACCTCACTCCTCGTTACCTCAGTGTGAACTATTGACTCCCTACTCACCCTCTCACTCTCTCAATCTCTCCATGACTTCTCTTCCTTCTCTTCCTTCAAATCTGAAATACAGACACTTCTCTTTCATGAACATTTCTCTACTGTATCTTCCTGATTACTGTTTTTTTTCCTCTGGGATTGTGATAG